CATCGGATCAATTTGCAGGTTGACTGCGAAGGTGATGGAATGCTAAAAAAAATATTCATTTTCTTCTAGTTCGAGCCTCATCAACTGATCGGTATCGCAGCTCCTCAGAAGACGGTTTCCCATTGAAGTTAATCGACTATGGTCCGCATTTCCTGTGTACTGTCTTGAAATTTCTGGCAAATGCTTCAAACGTACTAATAATAGAAACAGGAGCAAACTGTCTTGTCTGGTTGTCTGGTTTATCTATAGGGATTTTTGGTTTTATTAAATAGCACCAATGAATTTTTTCATCAAATGTGTATTACTGGCGTGCAGATGCCATTACGCCGAAATGGGAGCTGTTTTCGCAGCCACAATCATCAGCCAATCTACGAAAAATTAGCGAGCGCGAATCAGTCGCGCTGCCAATAGTCATTCAAATTCTCACAATAAAACGGAGTTTGCGCATTGAAAAGGCTGCGAGCGGGCGATGGTAAGGAATCAGCGGAGACCAAACACTAAGCGAGCGCTCTGCAAAAATTTGACAAAGTAGCAGCGATCGTTCTGAACAGCTTCCGAGTGAAATCGCGCGCGGAGACCCGGACATTGACGTGCGGGCTACGACAATTTAGCAAACTATTCTTCCGGTGCCCGCTTGCACATAGATCGCATGGCCGCCTGCCTCCGGCGATTATCTGAGCGGTACCTCCGTTTTTTGCCAGCGCTCAGATAATCGCTGGGGGCAGGCGGTCCGCAGCTTTTCTGCAAGCGTTCAGCAAAATTTTGGGGAGTGGCCAAACCTTCAGCGAGCGGTCCGTCTTCTGCCAGCGGGCAGCAATACAAAATTTTCTGCAAGCGCTCCTCAAACAATCTCTTTTAGCGAGCGCGGACTAAACTTTCAGCAGGCGGTTGGACTTTTTTTACGCAGTTTCAGGCGTATGCCGATCAAAGGTAACGCTTTACATAACAGAGGCATCATCGACGGTTCAATTACCCGAGTTCAAGATAGTTTTTTCTCAGCGGAAGGTACCTACCGGCTGTGCGGTCTTTCACAAAGGACAGTGCGGCCCCCAATAATTTTGCAGCGGCCACTGCGCCGCAACTAATCTATGAAAAAGCCGCAATCGTTCTTAAAGCATTCGTCCAAATTCGCCAAAATTAATCCAGATATCTGCGGACCGCAAGAATTAGCGAACTATTTTTTTAGTGCCCGTCCGCCCATAAATCGCATGGCCGCCTGCCCCCGACGATTATCTGAGTCCTTGTAAGATCATACTAAGAGCTATACTCAATGAAAACGTTGTTTCGTCAAGAATCTTCAATGACAGTATTAAGCTTGCTAAAGCACATGCTGGAGAACAGTCCCGAGGGCCCGTAGTAATCTACCCTACCTGCCGGCAGGTCTTGCCCTCAACTCGCCGCGATCTCGCCCTCAGGTCATGAAAACTGTCAACGCCCTCTCTAGCTTCCCCAAAGCAATCAGTTTGCCTCTCTCCAAGACTGACGGTCCAGCTCAGAGGTGGGCACCAGATGGAGATCGAAAAAAATCCGAAAAATCCCGACAACTTCAAATTTTGGGCCCAAAAGATTGACCTGCCGGCAACTTCGTGAGGTATTTTGTCGAGATTTCTGCCGCGATCTCGCCCTCAACCTGCCGGCATCTCGCCCTCATGTCAGCAAAGAAAGGAAAATAGCGTGCATATTGAGGAGTGCAACCTGCCGGCATCTCGTCGTGCCCCTACCACGACGAGATGCCGGCAGGTTCATGACATTCATCTCGCTATCTGGCGGATTTTTGATCGATTTCTTTATTTTTCGTGTTTTTTTTCTTGTTTTTGAGTCACGCTCATGACCCAAAGCAGTCACAAAAATCCAAAAATAGGTGGCATGATACGTTTTTCTAGTTTGCTGAACGAAAAATAGCGACCAGAAGGTTTCATGCACGGCTAGGACCATTCTTTGTTTTCCATTGCATGTTATTCTATCTGTATCTCAATCTTCAGCGAGCTTTTTGAGGGATTCTCACATGTTTATTGTTTGTTTTTTTTGCTAAAGATAAGTTCTCAGTATGAGGGTTTCGTTTCTCATGTTGTGCGGTGTCGCAGCAGTTACGCTCTCAGTTACGCTTTCTTGAAGCTCTTTCCCATTTTTAACTTAGTGTAAACATCTACTATACATTGAGGTTTTAGTCTAGTCTGATGAATTCAGCTAAAGATGTACCTTCTTTGTAGCTGCGATAAGTCCCACGTAGTTATATTCTACTTTGGTATGTCGTCGGATGTAATATTGCTTTGTCACGTTCCACGTTTAAGCCAGCGTCTTTCGATGCTAAGGCGCTCTATCACAGGTTACCTTTTCTTTTCATATTCTGTGTTTTCAAACATGCATTTGCTGTCTTCTTCTCTCCTTATGCACGCACATCGCCGTATAGTAACCGATCTCTCTCGAATCGCGCGGTAGTGATCATTCACTTCACCAAATAATATTTCCAGAAATGTGACGCGAATACGCTGGTCACAATCATTTTGCGAATTTGGCAACTTCGAAAGACAGCGAGAGAATAGGTAAGCGTGTACGCTCAGCAAAGCTCTTCGCGATTTCTACATTATAGTTTTTCCTGAACTTTGGCTCGAGGAGAAAGTGGGTATCTTGTTGTAGTATAAGCTTCAAATGTGCTAGAGCAGTCGTTGGCAAAGTTGGCAAAAGTTTCCAAACTCGGCATTCGGGTATGTCCTATACACGCTGGAAATGGTAGTTCTCAACTTTTCTGTAGAATTTGCCTACAGTTTACCTGGTTTCTTTTCTCCTTGCTCTCCTTCGCACAGTACTATTTACAAATAGCAATCCCTTCAACTTTTACAATAAGTATTAGGGGTTATTTGAAGAAAAGGCTTTGCCTTAGTCGTGCGCTTGATCGCGGCTGAGTGAAAGGAACTTGAAAGGCTTGCTATTTGTAACTTGTAAATTGGATAGCAGTGCTGACGCGATTGTCATGATTTGACAGCGCTTTTTAGATCAACTGAGCTGTTTTGTTCCGGTTCTGCGCGGTCGCTTCCGCGGATCGTGGAGGTTGGTAAACTTACGACCATGCTCGTGCAATACGCCGGAAGAACTTCTCAGTTTCCTTTCATTTGTCACTTTTTGCCATCTGTCACTATCATTTACATGAAGCGAAGAGTCAAGAGATTTCGTGTTTGTTCCAAAATTAAGTTCCTTTTACAATAGTAGTGAGCAGTTCCTAGGCCGGTACGCCTTACACCGTGAATAGCACCATTGGCTATTTCCTACGCCGAGTGGCTGAAAGGGTGACGAATGCGAGAAAATGCTTCGAGGGTACGCTCGCACACGCGGCGTTGCCTGCGATGCGGTAGCGCAAACTCAAGCCGCTGGCGAAAGCGACGCTCACTGAGACACTCTTTGGCTTTTTTTCTTCTAGGTCAGCTTATTCATCTGTAAATATTATTTTTATCTGGACCTATCTATTCATCTATCTGGGTTCATACTGATCCAGACGGATGCTCGAGAGATCAAGAGAGATCAAGCCTAAAACCCTTGCTAGACTCGAAGAACCACGCAAAAATTGCAGAAAGCCGCCAAATCCGAACATTCGTAGAATAGTTACGCAAAGATCAAAATCTACAGTTAATGCCGTTTTATCTACTTGGTAAACCCAATTTAATGATTTGCCTTTTAGGTCTCCATCAGGAACATTCATGTTAGTTTTGAAGAAAAGATACGAACAGACGTCGACCATTTGTTGCTGGAGACACTTTGGAAATCTGGACTTCCAGGTAAAGTTACTTCGGTGTCAATACTCTCATTACTTTGAAGCACACAGCACCATGGAAATGTTTGAATTATCTTTTTTTCAAAGCTATGTCAAAATTGTTCTGTCCAGGAGTTTTTTTTTGTTGCAATGTTGTTGTCTCTACCTCATGTTGCTCAAATAAGTTGGGTATATACACACTATGCATAGCCAGAGCTATGCATACAGCCTTCAGCATCAGGAGAGTGACTTTTTGGTAGAAAAGAAGATTTCTATCCGTTTGAAGCTCACATGGGGAAGGAGAGGCAAAATCATCGGATCGCAAGCTTTTTGCGCTCAGATTTCTCAGTCACCGTGTAGCATGTGTGCTTTTCCTTTAGTGTTGTTTGTAATGTGAAGGCATGATTCGCTTAGATTAGTGAGCACAGTTCTTCTAATTGTAAGCAATTTAATAACATCGGTAGGGAAGCAGTGTTTTACCCTTTTGGCGCTGTGCTTGTCCAGTCATGTCAAATACTGGTATTGAACACGTCAGATTATGTTAAGACTGAGCTAGTCATAGCTACTTGCAGCGCCATCTCATTTTCGTTTTATGGTCTGATTCTCCTTTTTTTGCTTTTGATTGCGATATTTGGCAGGGACAAAACCTCTGAATTCTTGATTACCGCAAGCATTCATGCTTACTTCAAATATCGCAATGTTGAAAAAACATCTCTAAATTCCCCTTCTCCTTTCCTCCAGAGTAATTCTGAACAACATCCCCATATTTTTTAGCTCTACATATTTAAATAGCACTCTGAAGCGTCCCTTTTTTTCAGTTCTACGTATCCATCAAGGAAGAACTTCTCCATCTATAATGAGTAAAGTAAGCTCCGGAGTTCCCAACAATTTTTTTCCAAAAAATCTCAATTTTAAGAGCAAGTATGATCATAACGAGGTTATTGCCGAGGAGGTGTTGAAGAGAAGGGAAATCTTACTAGACAATGCCAGTCTGAGACTTCCCAATCTCAACTCGCGAAGGACCAGTGCATGGAAGGAGATTAGAATGGTGGTTTTTACAAAATGTGAAAAAGAAATGACTATTGAGCAGATCAAAAGATCGTGGAGGGCGAAAAAGGCGAACATACGCGACCTACTATATAAAGAAAAGACGTAAGCGTTACTGTTCACTAGGAAGACAAAACGTATCCTTAAATCTTAGTTACCGCATCGCGACCGGTGGAGGGGTGAAAAAGCCATCAACAAAGGACTCAGCATGATGTCAGAGACAGATGTTCAAATAGCAAGAAGTTTAGGAAAAGAAGCTAGTTTTAGTAATTTACGCGTTGCAGAGAGCGCTGTTTGTGTGCGTAAATTTAGGATACATAGAAATATATTCCCATTATGTCACTTTTAGGCAGTTGAGCCCGCGAGTTCGCAGCTACCACGTGAAAGCACTGAAAAGAATCCAGTTTCAGACGAGGTGATGCATCAGCTATCCACGGTCAGTCAAAATAAGAAGTTTCGTTGCCCAGTGATTCGCTTTTTAGTTTGACAGCGAAAGCGATGAATACGACTTATCACCACCTCCAAAAAAATCTAGGTCAAACCAGCAACAGCTTGTTGAGGAACAAAAGGAATTGTTGCGAGTAAGTCTAGAAAGTAATTAGATAAGTTATCTAGAAGAAATCCTTGCAGTTTCAAAGATTAGTTCTCGATAAAGAGTATGCACTCTGCAGCAAACTGGACGCTCTTCTTGACAAAATCAGCATCAAGCTCGAAGTTGTTAACGCCGCCGGGACAAGCCATCGTACAACTAGTAGTCGCACTTATGAGGAAGCGCTTCAGCTAGGAGGTGATCCCAATATCGAGGAGTCCGTCATTTGAAACTTAATTGACTAGACCTCAATATTAGCATTACCTCATGTTTCGTGTAGCCTGCTATTTATCTTTGAATTGTCAAAAATCTCGTGTTGCATTCGTTTCAATATCAAAGACAAAATTGTCACTGAAAACACCTCTACCTCATTGTAAAAGCGCCTCTGAAACTCTTTGACTGGAAAACCAAATACGTCCACGGAATCAATTTTGGAGCCTGTCAGGGTTTCTAGCCATTTCGTGAACAACACTATATCAGAGTCTTTCCTTTGAACTTTTACTGAAAATGTGGTAAACGTTCTTGAAACTGATTCGCCTTTCGAGGCCCTTTCATTTGTAATTTTGTAGACAGTGATTTTCTTTTTTCCATTTCTGTGTGTGCACCCAAGCACTGATATGAGAAGTTTGCTCTATTATGTGCTGTTGCCCTGCTCTACATAACAAGTCCTCTGTTGCAATGTGTCATTTGAATAGCAGTCTCTTGTTTCTTGAAGATTTATTTGCCTATAATCTACATCGATGAGATCTGAGCAGTGAAAATAAATGATAAACTGTTTTGAATGACGAACGGGCAATTACTCTTAAGCAATGGTGATGTTTACAAGAGAATATCTCGATTTTTGCTGTAATTACCTCTCTTCAGCGAAGCATGCAGTTCGCGAATGCTACAACTCACCATTATGGACGGGTGAGTTGAAATGTTTGAAATTGAAGTTTGGTTTCCGCTTCACTCTGTTAGATAGGGCCCTGGCCAGAATTCGCTCAAAAGCGCCCAAAAGCGCTCAAAAGCGCCCAAATCTCTCTGGTGTCTCTTCTCTTTTTCGTGTGAGGAGAGATGAGAGAGAGTGAAGAGAGTTCAGAGAAGTGCGGGCGCTTTTGCGCGCTTTTGAGCGCTTTTGCGCGCTTTTGAGCGAAGTCCGTCCATTCGTTACTGTCAATCTCCCATTGGCCCATACTCTTCGCCTTTCCGCTTCCTTCTATTTTTGCCAGTAAAAATTTTCCTCCCTGGAAGTATGGTGTTAGTTATAGGTAGTTTGTGAAATCATGACGACGGATTCGACTGCGGTCTTTGCGCCCACAGGAGAAGAAATGGTGAGTGCGTGTCGCACGCGGTCGCGCCATCGTCACGTCGCCAGGACGGCCTGGTGGGCGTTCGTGGCAAAGTAGCGAAGCGCGATGATGATCTGCAATCATAATATAGTATCATATCATATCAAAACATACTTAAAGATCAAGTCAGGCAAGTCTGGACACATGGTGATCTCAAGTGGATATTAATTTTGGGGCCCTAACTAATCCACCGCCAAACCGGCAGCTCAGGTAGTGCTCCAACGGCCGAGATATTTCCCTCGAAACTGGACCCCGGGATCGTACTTCATGGATTTTGGCCTTAGTTAGGGCCCCAAAATTACTTTCCAAGTAAAATCCCCATAGGTCAAGTCTGCCCGGAAGCTGCCTCTAATCAGATAACATATCCTATATTATAAATATAAATATATAAATAGCCTGTGAAGTTTGGTTCAGATCATTCTGGGTCGGTCATAACAAAACTGCTAAGCAAAAAACGGGGTGGGGGAACGAAAGCCGCCAGCTTCGGTTGCCTGCGCGGACTGCTGGTCCTGGAACGACATGCAACAACGTTGCGGAAGGACCAGTTAGCCGCGAAAGCCGGCTCAGAACTGGCGGCTTTCGTTCCCCACCCCAAAAAACGCCGGAAGTCAATGAATCAAAGGGACAATAGATCATTTTTGGTAAGAGCTTAATGACACCGGAGACAATGACGCGGAGCTCGTGTATGCCAAGTTCGGTACCCCATAATCTTTCCGAATTTTGGACGGGCTAAAATTTTTCAAGCACAAACTGCAAAACCAATAAATCGATAAAAGCAGTCGGTACGTTTTGAACAAAAAATGACTTATAAACACAGGCCTCGCATCATTTAAAAGCGTAAGTAAAAAAAGCTGTACCCCTCTTGTCTAGCTATCTGGTGAATGGATCAAAGTTGCTGATAAGACATTTTCATTTGAAGTTGAATCTCAATAAAAACAATAAAAACGCGCAGCAAATTGCCGCGAAAGGTAGCCTATATATCGTTCGGGGTTCAGAACGTATGCGTCTTTAGACAGAATGGTTCAAGTTTCATAACTCCTTCTGCCCTTTTTGATCAAACATAAAAAAATTTCTAAGCAAAAACCGCTGGAAATTAATAAGTCAGTAGGGGCATTTGTGTGTTCCGAATAAAAAGCTTATTAACACCGTCCCACCCCATACATGTCTGCCAAATCTGGTTCAGATTCCATACCTTTTTTACCCTTTTTGATCGAAGATTAAAATTTTTTAAAAAATTGCTGAAATCAATGAATCAGTAGTCGCAACTTGTGTCTCCCAAACAAAAAGGGTTATTAACACGTATCCCACCCCATACAATTATGTCTGCCGAATTTCGGGGCGAACAAAATGTTTCGAGCAAAAACAGCAAAAAAGTAATAAGTCGATAGAGTGGAACGGTGGGGCCCGAACAAAAATGGCTTATTATATGTTTCCCAAACTTGATTCAGATTACATGGCTCCTCCTATATTTTTGGACTAACATACATAATTTTCCAGGCAAAAACTGCAAGAAGTCAATAAATCGGTAGAGTCAAATGGTGGATCCCAATCGAAATCATTACTAACACACGTCCCACCTCATACATTACGTCTGCCAAATTTGGTTCAGATTTCATTGCTTCTTCTATCTTTTTTGAGCGAACGTAGAAAAAATGACTAACAAGGGAAGTCACTCAACTTAGGTGAGGCTTCTGAATTGAGACACATATATTTAGTATCATCTCGGAACGCTGATTTCATATCTGCTTTCCTTAGCTGCGAAGCGTTCCACTGAAGCGAGTTATGAGCTTTTTCCTGAGCAAATTTTGCGTGTTGACCGACTTAGGCATGCTACGGTATCATCATCTAGGTAGTGGTTCAAACGCATATACCCGGGTGGGGGAACGAAAGCCGCCAGGTCCAGCCGCCTTTCGCGGCCAGCTGGTCCTTTCGCAGCGTTGTTGCATGTCGTTCCAGGACCAGCAGTCCGCGGAGGCGGCTGGACCTGGCGGCTTTCGTTCCCCCACCCCATATACCCTATCAAAGCCAAATGACTCAATTTGATGTTGTTTTGATTTTCCACCACTTTTTGGACAGATTTTCATCTAAAGACCTTCTTTCCATATTCATTTGTACGTCAATGGCACATATTAAAAAAGCTCATAACTCTCTTTAGAAGAACGATTCGCAGCTAAGGATAGCATATTTGGAATCAGCGTTCCGAGCTGATACTAAATATATGTGTCTCATTTCAAAAGCCCGACCTGAGTTAAGTGACTTCTCTTGTAAGCCAAATGTATATAGTATAGATTCTTTCAAATCTAACCTTATTCTCGACGTCCACTGTCCAGTTCGCGATTTGCTCATGCTTCATTAGAGGCGCTAGAAGGCTGCAAAGCCGACGGAGGTGGACTTCGCCCATTCGGTACTTTCTCATTATCAGATTCTGATTCGAATGAAATAACCGCATGGGGTGGATGCGTCGGTATCTAATATTTCTGTGCCTCACTACAGACAAAATAGCCGGAAGCATTAGAACAGGCAGCATATTTCTAAATAAGAAATATTATTCACCTCGTTGTTTATGCAGAATGAACATCTACAGTGTAAAAGAAGTGTGAGTCAGGCACACATTTGGCAGGTGGACCCCATCTGCTTTAGAGGCCTTTTTTTGACGCAGGATACGCAAATTCCTATCCAGTTTTCCAAGTTTTTTGAGTTTTAATAGAGACAATATTTTCATTAGCTTCGTGAAAAAAATGAAAAATGATCCAAGCGTAAAAAAATATTAGACTTATTATTTGATAATGGAATTATCAAACATAATTCCTAATTCCTAAATTCAAAAATAATCCTCTGTTTGGGAGCTTAGTGCTAACTGCTATCCAGCCGTGTACATACGAAAACTAAAAAACTCAAAAATAATCCTCTGTTTTACCTTCATGCCAACAGAACTTTTCTACATTTCTGGCTTTTTAAATGAGACAACGAGATGCGATAGATTCTTGTTTGTAAATGAACCTAAGATGGAAGAATGGCAAATTGTTGGGGTGTACCCTATACGAACGTTAAGTACAGGTCTCATCTTTTTGCACCCAAATAGAGTACACTTTTACAAAAGACATTTTATTTTGTCATGATGACATTAAAAGTATTCAACGAACTGGGATCATAGAGTTACACAGGAGACGGTAACTACATCAGTACTTCATAATTTTGGATGGATCATAGGTCGCTTTTGTTATATTCAGAAAACAAATTCCTATTGGTCGAATGGGGTAGAAAATTTCTCTCATATTTTTCAAAATGAAAGCGTGTATTATCACCTGGCAATGAGCAATGCTAGGTGATATCGCAAAGTATCGAAAACGGAAGCATACTAGTCACTAAAATGGAGCTCGGCTGAAGGTTCTTCTTTTCATGATATGATGGACATGCTGATTATCGAAGGGAACAAAAATGTACATTGTTGGACTATAATGAAACGACAATAAAGGCAGGAAATGAAAGCGAAAAAGGAGCGAAAACCATTGAAAAAAACAACAAGCAGTTCATGAAGAATCTGCAATTTATGACAAAAATGGACCTCAAATTTGCGTTTTTTTAGTGGTTCAGTTCTAGACCATCGGGAAAAAAGGGCTCAAGTCTGCAAGAGTGTCGACAGAAGTACTTTATATAAGAAAGTGTAAGCCTTATAAATGCATGTAAGGAAAAATTTTTTCTTGCAATTCCGAAGACCGATGCTCAAAGTAATAAGAAAGTTGCACGAGAAATAAAAGACCTTGCTAGGCAAAATAATAAAAATCAAAAATGTTGATTTATGTTGTAAAGAACCATGTACCAAGTGGTGATAATAGTTTCGAATGAAGTCATGGAAATAGGTGTGATATAATGCAAAGTAAGACATTCAGAGAGAATAA